AATAGCAATTTTCAATAGCTTCATTTTGATATATAGCCGAACGTTTGGGGTCAAGTATTTCAGCTCATAACTCAGAAAAACTATTTTGGCTTCATCAAATCATAGGCCTACATCATAGCAGTTAGCCTTCCAGTTTATTTATAGTTCAATGTCCCCACCAAACACGAGTTTTGCGGCAAATTGAAGAATTATAACCGTTGCCAAAACTTGTTTACAGTTGCCAAATATGAATGGTTTGCGTTTTGTTTAACTCTCATCCTATGAGCAGATCATAAAAATAGATGGTTTGGTGGTACTTTAGTGCGCGTGATCTTTACCGCTACGACCACGGTTCTACATGCAACATGCAGTATTTCCCCTTAGTCGCATGTGAGAAATGGCTGAAATGCTTCCGGTCTGACTCTTCTAAACTCCCTATTTTGTTCTGGTTCTGCAGCCGTACTGGACCAGTGCGCACTGAATTACGATATCCCCTTACTGGAGATCTGGAGAGGGGGGGGAAGTACCATATCAAATGTTGCACTGAAGAGCATTAGAGCTTCTGGCGAGCACAACGCAAGGAAAATAATTATTTTCACGATAAATATCTGTCATTTAGTCATTTGGACATATTGGGATTAAAAGATTTTTCGGACATACAACTTTCGAATTTGTTAACTTTTTGGTAATATTTTCGTAAATTTATCAAAATTTTTGCCAAAACTATTACCTTTTAATCCAAGCTACTCAAATATTTTCGCCGACAAGATTTTTTTTTTGGGGGGGGGGGGCGTGTTACACCCCACTATAGCGACGGCCCGGTGATGCATGCACTCGCCAGTTGCCAGAGTGCTACCAACATTAATTAAACCATACTAGATATGAACATTTGAATTGTATACACTTTTTTCCTGTTTTTTCAGCTCGAAGACATTCGAAGCTCAGGTTCCTGCGATGAACAACAAAAACAAGCTGTTGCTTTATTGTGTCGAGATGCCAGTAAGTGCCTGCCCGATATAGACTGTATGGAGTACCGACCAGATGTTTCAAGCTTACCCGCGGCTCCATATTTCTATGCTTATTTCTAAACCAATATTATATAAGCTGCGGTGAATAAAATTCAAAACATTTTGAATAAAATTCAAAACATTTTTTAAGGAGAGAAAACCCTTCTTGTTCAAACACAAACCATGATAGACTATTATAGAATAGCTATTGTAGAATACTACCTACACTGGACCACCACGTTTGAGATATCTTTTTCAGGTAGTTCAGACACAAACCACGACAGCTTATTGTAGAATACTACCTACACTGGACCACCACGTTTGAGATATCTTTTTTAGGTAGTTTAGACACAAACCACGACAGTTCATTGTAGAATACTACCTACACTGAACCACTACGTTTGAGATATCTTTTTCAGGTAGTTCAGACACGAGCGCTACCGATACTGGACTACCACGTTTGAGAAATCTTTTTCATGTAGTTCAAATACAAACCACGACAGCTTATTGTAGAATATTACCTACATTGGACCACCACATTATACCATGAAGTTATGAACAAAATATTAAGCAGAAATCTTTTAATCCTTCACAATTACACAATCTTTAACAATGATCCCAAAAGCATCATTCTTTTTCTACTCTAAGTTTATCAAAATTGATTACACACCCTTTTACTGTTTGCGCATAAAATGCTAAGTAAGTATAATTGTATAAAGTATAAAGACTATTCCACCTTTAACCACAGTCCCGTGGTTACGCTGTATATAATTTTCTAAGTAAGTAGACAAGTGTTAACATGAAGAGTTCCTTATTAGTTGTTCACCAGTGTGTAAAAATCTGCGCATCTCTGAATTCGAGTGTCGTAATACTTGGGTCCGCAGCAGTCATAATTAGCTTTCCTCTCGTGAACTGTTCCACAACAACACACTTGCGATGGCCCAAAACCAACTCCACCGCACAATTGCCCTATGGAAAACAGAACAGAATGAGTAGAATGAAAGAGTTCCACCAAACAATGCGCTTTTTTCCAAGCATTCCAGTTTCTTCTATTAACAAACTTGAGATGTTTTTGCAACAGGCTTATAGCAAGCTTGTCAACAAGTTGTAACTATGCAGTTATTTTATCAAGTTGCTACAAGGTTATCACTCACAACTTGTTATCAAGTTGCTGAATTGCAGCACGGTAACAAATTGTTGGAACAACTTGTAACAAAGTCTGTTGAGCTCAACAAACTTGTAGCAAGTTGTCAACAAGCCGTCGACAACTTGTCAACAAGTTGGGAACAAGCAGTGCGAACACATCCTGTTGACGAGTTGTTGGAACAGCATTGCTACAAGTCTGCCGCAGGTTTGTTACAATTACTTGTGCTTTTTTTCTTGTATAATACTAAGCCACATTGCCCTTACTGGACCTCTAGAGAGGTTAGAGCTCTAGAGAGGTTATTGCTGCGATTTCAGATCCGATTTTCTCCTTCTGATGGATGTGAACGAGTGGATGAGTTGTGAATCATTAGATGAGAGTACATATACTCAGAAAATCTCAGAGCATTCACTACTCATCTACTCGATCACATACGTGGGAAGAAGAAAATCTCACTAGACATCGCAGCAAAAATTGCAAGTGTAATAACAGGCTGCTATAGTTAGGTTTCCTTTTGTATAGTAACAGTTGTACCACTGATCAATAAGGATCAGGGACCCTTGCTTCTCGGAAGAACCGTTTGGAACTGACTGCTATAGTATTAATAACTGAGTCAGTTTAGTTTATGTTTCCTCCTGTAGTAATACACGCATGATCAATAAGAGAAGATTCTTACTGAACTCTAGGAAGAACAGTTTAGAACTAATAGAGCAATCCAGTATCAATAAATTTTATAGTTTAGTTTATGTCTCCTCCTGTAGTAATACATGGATCAATAAAAGATGATTCTTACTGAACTCTAGGAAGAACAACAGAGCAATCCAGTATAAATAAGTTAGTTTAGTTTTTTTCCTCCTGTAGTAATGCATGGATCAATAAAAGATGATTCTTACTGAACCTCTAGGAAGAACAGTTTAGAACTGATCGAGCTATCCAGTATGAATAAAGTTAGTTTAGTTTAGGTTTCCTCCTGTAGTAATACTTGATCGATAAGAGATGATCTTTACTGGACCTTTAGGAAGAACAGTTTAGAACCGATAGAGCTAGTTTAGTTTATGTTTCCTTCTGTAGTAATACTGGCAATAAAAGATGATTCTTACTGAACCTCTAGGAAGAACAGTTTAGAACTGATAGAGCTACCCAGTATTATTAATTTAAAGTTAATAGTTTAGTTCATGTTTCTTTCTGTATCAATAAAAGATGACTCTTACTGAACGTATAAACAGTGTGTACACAGGTTTAGTAAAATATAGACTAGTTTAGTATAAGCATCAACTTACCCTTAATCGTAATTTTCACGGGGCAGTTCAGCGAAAAGCTTCCTGAGGCGCTGCTGTGTTCGTAGTTATAGATAACATCATATTTTCCAATTGGGTATCTGCCGTTTCCATTTCTTGTCTCGGGGGGTGAGACAGATCTTAAAGATGCAGGACAATTCGGTTTGGGAATTGTCCATGAAACAGAGGCCGTGTTTGAACCACCATCGAGTTCACCATTAACACGAACAACTCCAGGGCATTCACAAGCTGAAATAATCATAAATAGCTTCATTAAACACGCGGCCAACAATATATAGAGACCTCAAGATCTAGGATGGCGATGTGATTACGACGGCTAGTGATACAATGAAGTTGATAATATTTAAGAAAAGAAAGAATTAAAATTCCACGGGAGACTGATTTAGATTTGTTTATAACTGCTAAAGAAGCGTGTTTACGGCGTATTGTGTACAACGTTTGCATTTTAGGACGTAAGAAGTGGATACTCAGCAAATTGATTCAGTACTAATGTGGAACTCTACTCAATAGAAAGTCTCTGTTTTGTCTTTTGAACCAGTCTTCAAGCTGTGTTAAATTCATACGATTGACAATATACGATAAGCTTTGTTTACAATATAAAACAACGGTAACTCCGAAAATAAACATTTTAATAATATTCTAGCTTGCGACTAAGATTCAGTCATCATCAGGAATGATTCCTGATGATGACTGAATCTTAGTCGAAAGCTAGAATATTATTAAAATGTTTATTTTCGGAGTTACCGTTGTTTTATATTTTATTAAAATACTCAGTGGTTCCCGTAATTTTTGTTTACAATCATTTATTAGTGAGTGAATTTATTCTGGCCGTCGCCATCGCTTTGCCGGCCTACACTTTACTGTAAGGTCTCTAATAGCTGATGTCCACAGCATCTAAAGTGGGGGCGGGGAGGGGGAGGTGCTAATGATCTTTACTTGCAGCTGAGAGTTAAGCTGAATTACGAAGAACGCAGCTCAACCTGATCCAGTCGAAGGCTTAGTAAGGGCGCTCTAGCAGTCACCTTATGACTCGTGTCTGATTACGGAGGACAGCTACGGTGGAAGGGTCAGTTATAGGGGCATTACCCGACCCACCCTGTCAACACCGACTCTTTTCGCATAAGTATCATAAGTCCCAGCGAGATTCGCTGCTCTGACGATCGCCCCCTAAATGGTGGTGCGCGAACTGCCATGCACCGATTGCCCCGCCAAACTCCCTTACATAGCTTAGTACAAGTCTTCTCAACCATCAAGCCCTTAAAACTGTATTACATGATATTTTTTCCTTAAATTAATTGTATTTGACCCCCGCGCTTCCCTACATACCTGCGACATCAATTTCGATTGGGCATTGTTGTTTCACCACCTTTGTTCCTCTCAGATAACCGTACGTATATGTGACTCGATGCTGTCCAACACCAAACTCTGCAGGGGGGCTGACGCCGGGTGGCTGAACTTCCGTGCTTTTAATTACCGCCTGGCGGCCAGAGGCACATTTAAGAGTTGGTACTTCCCAGTTGATTACGGCCTTCCCTCCTTGGGCAGCGAATACATTAGCTGTGATGGTTCCAGAACACCCGCACTCGCCTGAAAATGAAATTGGGGTGAGGCGTACAGCTATATAAGTTCATGTCGGCCAGTGCATTTTTTAAGGATTCTTCAGTGGTGGGGAAAAACTGCCAAAGGGCCCATTTTACTTGCCCTCCTCTCAGGATAGTATACGATTGCCGAATATGTGAATCTGAGTACCGCAGGCACGAGTTAGGTAAGGGGATCTTGGGGCATGCCCCCCCAAGAAATTTTTAAAATTTGGGTCTCTGATATAGCATTTTCTGCATTCGGAGAACACATTTTTTACAAAATCTCAGCTTCTCAAAACAAAGTTTTAATTGTGAAATTTGTAATAAATTGCATGCTAAGCATTCAAGTTTAAGTATGCTCACCAACAAATTTTGTTTTTTAAACTTCTTTTCAATGTTAAATTCATTTACTCAATACATGCTGGTCCTAGGGCCCCGGCTTTGGGGCAATAGGCTATTTTCCATTTTTTTTCTTCAGTGGTGGGGCAGAGGAAGGGGCCCAGTGGGGAAAATGCCCCACCAGTCCATGATATTAAAAAATGCCTTGTCAGCCGGGCGGGATCTATCCGTTGCATTTTTCACAACTGTTCCTGGTTAGGACGGTTCGGTCCTAATAAAATGTATATAAATTTCCACTGATAATTTCATCTACCATACCCTTCAACTATTATTCAATCGAGTGAGATACCAACAAAATCTTGATATTTACTCATTTTGCCATATAGGGTGTTTTTTTTTAGACGAATCCACCATAAAATTTTGCTTGAAATGTTTCGACAGGTACGGTTGAGTGATTGAAATTATTGAAGTTTTTGATGACGTCACCACGTGACGTGTTTTTAAATTAGCTCAGTTAAGCCTGGTTTCCATATAGTCGTAAAAATCGAGTCACGATCTTTCTCAACGGCCAGTTTATAATAGTCACGATCTTTCTCAACGGCCAGTTTATAATAGTTTATACCTGTAAACCACATATAAATCACAAGTGTTCTCTAGTTATAATCACTCCGCATATTTTCAGTTCTAAAATGTTGTGGTTCTTCTGATGAGATGATACCTTGGTTGCCAGAGGTTCTGTATCTTAAGGCGAAAGATACAGAACCTCTGGCAACCAGGGTACTGATGGGAAAGATCGTGACTCAAACTTTACAACCGTTACGACTATATTGTAACAAGGCTTTACTATCACAGAGTAGGTCTAATCTATTTGGCATAAGATCGTTTTTTTTGTCGGTTACTCTGGTTTTCTCGTGTATTCACAATGAACCATTGAACGAGAGTGCCATTGCCTGGACGTCTATGTCCAACTTGCTTACCTGGGTCAATACAAGAGGCACTTATGAGTTCGTTCATGATACTCTGCAGACTGTCTTTGTTCGTTTCGAAGTATTTTCCTTCCGTCGTCCACTCCTTGATATCGTCTCTGAATCTACTCAACGTGGCCTCTGTCCCCACTGCCAGTCCAACCACAGTGACATCTTTTTCCCTGAGACTTTGAGCTCGATCCTTGGCAAGCAATCCTTCGCCATAACGACTACTCCTGTATTTCTCGCCAAATATGTCTTCGCCTCTACGTCTGATCGGTTCACCGTCCGTGAAAATCAGGACCACATCTGTTACATCTGGTCGATAATTTCCTGGACTTGACACGCTAAATTTCTACATTGAACAGAAAATATTTGATTTAGTTTTAAATGTACATTACGATGGCGCTACGTGGGTTTGGACGTCAAGTTTCTGCACACGTAAAAATCTCACAACTTGTCAACAAGATGTGTTCACAACAGGCTTGTAGCAAGCTTGTCAACAAGTTGTAACAATGCTGTTATTTTATCAAGTTGCTACAAGGTTGTCACTCACAACTTGTTGACAAATTGTTGGCAGAACAACTTGTGACAAGTCTGTTGAGCTCAACAACAGTGACAACTTGTCAACAAGCTGGGAACAAGCAGCGCGAACACATCCTGTTCACAAGTTTATTTATTTATTAACTTTACAATCATACAAGAATTATAACAATGATTGAAGGTGTGGTCAACAGGACATGAGTCCCATGTGAAGACCAACCTGATACAAGAGGGTCCTGAAGGGGTAAAATGGGAACTGGGATTGATCTATTTTTAGACTGGGAAAATGGGATTTGGGTTGCTGGGACTGGGATTTGGCCACTGGGAATGGGAAATGAAGTCCTCAAAAATGGGAATGGGATTGAGGTAATGCGAATCGATTCCCAATTTTTCTACGTTTTAAGTATTTTAAAATACAATTTTGATTCGTTTTTGGTGTCTTTGGTCATGATTTTTGTTGTTAAGTATATTATTCACAGCACAACCTGGGAACAGGCATACTCTGGCGCCCGGAATTCTGGGTTTTCTGATTATGCGTGTCTCAGAATGCTGCAAATGCCATTTCCGGGACTCAAATTTAAAAATTTTCCGCGCCTTCGGCACAAGCCCCCCCCAATTTCATACAGTGTGCGCCACTTGCACACACGGTTGCTTAAAAGTCTTAAAACTGTTTATTGTACCGATAAATAAAGGGTTTTTTATTGACCGGGATTTCAATAACTCGGACTGGGATTTCTAATAAAAATCCAACTGGGAATGGGATTTTGCCAAAATTTCAGGTGGGAAATGGGATTGGGAGCCCCCCTTCAGCACCCTCATACAATACAATAAGTAGACATACATTAAAAACAAGGACTAGAACACTATTTACATAGCTATATAAAAATTAATAGTTTAGATTATGAGCAACAGCTTAAGTTGAAAGAACGGCATTTAGAGCAGTAGGTTTTCCAAGTGCGCATTCTGTTAACATCGAAAGAAGTGTTTAATTGAGAAGAGTAGTGAGAATGAAGCTGGAGCTTAAAGGATGAAACAGACGAACTGTTACGAATGATCGGGGAGAGATTGTTACATAGAAAGACAATTCGGTTAAAAAAAGAGTTTCTAAACAGAGAAGTTTTGCACGGATTGACTTGAAGCAAGTTGTCAGTGCTTGAACGGGTGCGAGATGAGCGATTAGAAGAAAAGGTGACAAAAGATGAAATATCTAGGTCGTAGAGGCCTTGTTTGCATTTGAAAAAAAAGATGAGATCCTTTATTTCAAGCCAGTAAGATATAGGCAATAAATTAAGCTTCCTAAGACGCTCAAGATAAGACAACTCGTGTTAGAACAGCATTGCTACAAGTCTGCTGCAGGTTAATTTGTTACAACTTGTACGTTTTTGCGTGTGTACCCAAATGAAGCTTCACCGTATTCGCTAAAGAGAAATCAAAATCTCACCTCATCGGCTATTTTCAAAGCCATACCAGTTCGGGTACCGTCTCCAGATATTTGATCGTATTCTAATGAATCGAGGTAGTTGTTGAGGGCCTCCGGGGATTGCATTTCTCCAAGTTCCAATAACACCCTAGTCTGCGCCTGCGTACTGAAAGTCAAAATGCCAATATGCGTGCCATCTGGACCAACATTCAGTTGTGGGCTGCTGATGAGGCTTTTTAGAAACGGTCTGACTTTATCTACAAATGATGATCTCCCCACTGACCATGAGTTATCCCAAATAATCCACATATCTTTCTTGCAGTCTGAAGTTTTAAAATATTTTAAATCATAAGGTTAGAACTTGCAAGACCGGCTCTTTTTTCCAAGCGAATGCGTTTTGCAGAAATGGAGAGTACATTTCTAATTCCTATGCGGTGTATACATTGGTTTTTATGCTTAATGTTAAACTGTCAATGATATTAAGAGGGGACAGGGACGTAGCGACCGGGGGGTGTGGGGTGTAACCCCCCACCCAACAGTGAAACAACTGTAAAATTTTGACATTTCCATGTAAAATTTGCGTAATAAACTAATTATTTTTGTGAAAATAATTCCCAGATCCCCCTTTTCTCCCGAAACTTATATATTAGTATGACAGTGCAAATCAGTCGGCAAAAAGCTTGATTATAATTACTAAACTTCAGGTAAATTTTTTTACATTGAAGTTCAAATTTCAGGTAAAATCCTCCGACACCCCCAACTTCAGATGCTTCGCTACCCCCCTGGGGGCACCCCTCGGTTATGTCAATCCATATTATAAACCGCCATACCTGAATTGCCGCTGCCACCAGTGCCAGCCGTTCCCGGCACGCCTCGCGACCATTCTCTATCCATGGCTAAATATCGAGAGAAGAGTGGCTGTCAGTTAGGAGATATTAGACTCAATTACACACCGCCAACTATGGGTACAGCAACAATACTAGCTACCATATACATATCTTTATATATGTTGCTTGGAATTTACTTTAATAGCAAAAGTCAGTCGATACTATATAGGAATCTTTAAATTAAGTGCTTTAAAGGATGGGAACAATGTTTAGTGCATAGCTATATATCTTTTATCTCTGTGATTTGGGTTTGATTCAGTTGTTTGTATATAATGTTTCACCGCCTCAGTCACATGTGAGAAGAGTGTTTCCAGTTTGACTAGGGAGCCCAGTTTAAAACTGATAGAGCTATTCAGCATAGAAATATAAATTTAGTTTAGTTTAGGTTTCCTCTTGTAGTAACATAAAGAGGAAAATCATTTGTATGTTACGTAACACGCGCACAAAACTAATGTCGTAATGAATATATTTTTCCACTTGGTTATTGACTATGGTCAAATTTGTAAATTGTTTATACGTTTCTCAAGCGGCAAACAGGGTATAAAGAGTATATCAGTGCTTTATCTGTAAAATTATGCTAAAATGAAGAGATTTTAGATTGTACGCCAAAGAGAAAATGATGCCTAAAGTTCAGTAAGTTTTGCTGCATAAATTATGGCGTTAATTTTACAGCATCGATATCATTGATAATTGTATTGTAATTGGCAATATTTGAACTATTATTCTGTATTTCTCAACCGCCAGAAACATTTAAAAAGGTTGCCAACTGTGTAAACTACAAAATAAAGCTATAAAACAAAGTAATTTTGAGAGAAGCGCCCAAAAGATTTTAGGTTTTGAACACTTTTCATCACAAATGCACGACATTGAAAAATGAATCAAAAGGCTCTTTCTAAATATCAATCTAGGCAGAACAGTTTAAAAACTATCAAACGCGGAGTCCTGCACAGTAAACAACTTAGTTGAAAAGTCCCAAGCTTCCAGAATTCCTGGTTGGATGTTACGGAAAGTGGATCGAATCAATTAATTATTTAAAATCCCTCGGGGCGGTGTGCCTCCGTACCGATGGCCCCAGAAAACGCGATACCTTTATGACATTAGACAGCCTTTCAGTGTAAGAATTTTAAAAGGATATATAAAAACGGCCATTACAGAAACCCCCAGAAACTTTTTTAAATCAACCAACTAACAGTCTAGTATTTGACCCACAATCATCTGGCTACATTGATACTGTTCAACGAGAACGGTTTAAAACTGCATGATAGAGCTATATAGTATTAATAAAGTTATAGTTTAGTTTAGGTTTCCTCCTGCAGTAACACAGGACCAATAAGATATTATTCTTACTCGATCTTTTGAGAAAACAGTTTAAAACTGATAGAGCTATTCAGTATAAATAAAATTAGCATAGTCAATCGCCTACCTTCCAAGTCATATCCGATGTTATAAGCGAGACTTCCACAGACACACAGGGCTAGGACAAACCCCAAACGAATCATCTTTGCACTGTAGTCTTTAAGACTTTTTTTCTGAGCTTCGTTCTTCTTGAATCTTACACAACAAGTGATAAACAGCGTTGAAACCTCGCTCCTTTTATATTCGCTGTTAGGGGAAACCGTTGCGGCAATATTCATGCATAATTCGTTACTTTTCGTCACAACGAATTCGTTATATTTGTATTGATTGACTTGGGTAAGTGGTACTTGGGTATATAGAGTCGTTGCGGTGATATGGCGAACAATCTAACTTGGATTATGTCCATTTGTTTTCGAGTTGAAACCGTTGAAACCAACTGACAAAATCTCCATATATATGCATGCATGTAGTATACGGTTATAAATCTGTATTTTTTAGGCATTTTAAAAAATTCACGATATATTGTGCAAAATTCACAGGAATATATAGAATACTTCAGGGCTAGCAGTTTTACAAAATATAAAAACACAGTAATATAACTATCACGTATTATCTTTGAGAAATTAAATGCGAAAAATACTGACGTTTATGCTAAATAAATTTAGCAAACAAGCCTGCCAGCCTCGTTTTGGTGCACATGCAGTTGCGCATTCCAAAGGACTATCATGACGGCATCAACTATTTCGCTCGGACCTCAGAATGGCATTTCGTCAAAACGTTTTTCTTCAAGATTGGTTTAGAAACAAATTTGGCATAGGGTTAGATTAGGGTTAGGGTAAGGACTAGGGTTATGGTTAGAGTTGGTGTTTGGAGTAGGGTTAGTGTTAGTAAAACCGTTGCATTGTTATACGTTTTGTCACTTTGAGGCCAGCGAAATAACCTCTTCCTATAATGACACTCGCATGGATTGTTTTCAAGTAAACGTTTACACTTCGCCTTGTAATTAAATAATTAAAGCACAGTTCAGCCTTTTCAATGATGGGTTTTAAGGCGCATTTCTATGGAGGGTGATTACCGCCAAAATTAATGTTTGAATTTTGCATTCCAAGTTGTAGATTTTGTTGTTCGTTCCGTGCTTTTTGATATCAATGAATTGAATTTTGATATTAAAGAATTGAATTTTGATGTTCGCAATTGCATTTGCACTTCTGTTTGCGCATTTTGTCCTTAATCATTCCATTGTGATGACGTAACATTATGCGTGACCCTCAAAACACAATTTTCAACTCGATTTAATGATAATTTATTTCCCGCAAAAATTTTAATTATCTCTAATTATTCCAACATTGTTACTTCGGATGTTCAGCATACGGATAAAATGGTTGAGAACCGTTCCAAATCACAAGAAGCAGCAACTTTTAATATTACGCCGTGCAGCAAGCATTTTAACGCACAATTCTGCTGAAAGTGAAGGATGTTGTGCAAGGAACAGCAATATGGGAAATACAGTGCGTCCAATTGAATTCACTGCTCTATAAAAAGTCAACAAGCCACAACCTCTAGTCACGATGAATTTCGGCGACTATTCTCCCTGTACAATAGGGCTAACAATAACAGTCTCGTTCATCAACCTCCGGCGAAGCGCGGTCGAGGTAATTCTTGGGGACAAACGCGTTCTTTTAAGCCACAAGATACGTGGACACACGATTTTTCGGTTTGGCACAAGTAGCTCGCTGAATTAACTCGTATTAAATTAATGCACTTTAAGATGTGAAATGTATGAAGTAAATCTTGATGTGAAATTATGAATACGCTGAATACGATTATTTACAAATACAAACTCTCCACTTCTAAAAACACCAGCAAAAACACTTCTTTAGATCGAGTATGAAACGCTCAGCAAGCGTCTTGTTTACTGTAAATTTATATGTATGATCATATTACATGTATGTGACATTAAAATTTTTGCGGGAAATAAATTATCATTAAATCGAGTTGAAAATTGTGTTCTGAGGGTCACGCATAATGTTACGTCATCACAATGGAATGCTTAAGGACAAAATGTGCAAACAGAAGTGCAAATGCAATTGCGAACATCAAAATTCAATTCTTTAATATCAAAATTCAATTCATTGATATCAAAAAGCACGGAACGAACAACAAAATCTAGAACTTGGAATGCAAAATTCAAATATTAATTTTGGCGGTAATCACCCTCCATACATTTCAGCCCTTTTAATTGAAACTGAACTAATTCAAGATCAGCAAACTTAATGTTTTTAACATTTTAAAACATTTTTATTGTTAAAAACATTGAGTTTACAGTCGCTGATCTTGAATTATGCATAATTGATTTTCCTAGTTAGCAGTTTTCAATCAGAAGGGCTGAAATACGCCTTAAAAACCATCATTCGAAAGGCTGAATTGTGTCTTTAAGAAGCCAGGTCTTTAAGCCTGGTTTCCATATGGTCGTAACGGTCGTAAAGATTGACTAGTCACGATCTTTCTCAGCCGAAATACAACATTTTAGAACTGAAAATACGCGGAATGATTCTAACGAGAGAATACCTATGATTTATATGTGGTTTACAGGTATATAAACTGTTATAAACTGGCCGTTGAGAAAGATCTTGACTCTTGTTTTCCCTATTTTTACGACCATGCATATTACGACAATATCGGGGAATCGGCCGCCGGTTGTTCAAAAACCAATTAGCTTAACATACCCCTAGCTGGGTTAACCTAAAATTCAAAGAAAACTTCCAAACAGCTTCCCAGCGGGCAAAATGACGTTTATCCAACGTTGAATCAACGTTGGAAATGACCTTCCAGACGTTGGATAGACGTTGAAAAAGGGTTGACTATGCAAATTGGATCGACGTTACTGTTTCGACGTTGAAACAACGTTGAAGTTAGGTTGCCAATCTCGTCAACCATAATTCAACGTTGAATCCACGTTAAAACAACGAGATTGGTTCACAAATCGACGTCGTACATTTAACCATGAATGAACGTTAATTCAACGTCTGTCGGCTGCTGTTGAACCAATGTTTGCAAAACAACGTCAGAGCAACGTAGATATTAGGTTGTCGACGTCGCAACCTTTTTTCTACCAAATTTCAACGTTGAAACAACGTCGTGTGCCCGGTGGAATTGGTTATAACTGGAAATATTTCTTCAGAAATCTTGTGTGGACCAATGAGAGTTTTCTTCTCTGAAGAGTTTTGAATCAAATAGATGTGCAGAAATGCATAAACTAAAACAGCAGGTTAAATTTTAACCCAGGGTTAGCTGTTCTTAATGCTTTCCCAACGCTATCATGTATTCGATTGAAATTAAAGCACAAATTGGAACACGTTCATCAAATCCTTATTTTGTGAATCTGGAGCTTGACATGTCCCCTGTAAAAATGTGTGACTGTCAACTCTCATTCTTGCTTAACTTAATGGTATATTAAAACTTAGATGAAGAAGAAGAAGATTTATTACCAATGACAAAAATAATAAGAAAACAATACAAGATAAACATAACAAATTAGGTAAACAGCCAACTAAAGTAATCACGAAGGTGACCAGCCTAGTTCGTTGGCTAGAAAATTCGACGTTGGAATTAGGCCATAAATTTTGCATCTGATTTCACATGTGAATTATGAACCGGTTCCAATTCCACATATCAAATATGAAATAATAATTATTCTCCTGCCTGGCAAGCATCGCATTGATATTGGGGACCGTGTTCAAGAATCAAGGGCCCGGTCTCGCGTCAATTGCGGTTAAAGACCGTTAAACCTCGTGTTGTGTAACTTTTATTTTCGGTTTGTCGCATAAGTGGAACTATTAGCAATTTAAATCAATTCTAGAGAATGGTGTACGTTCATTAGAGCGTGCCATGATTAGGAAACGTTTAATTAAAATTTCTTTGACTTTGCTCTAGGATATTCTGTATATTCTAAATCGGTTGATGCAAAGTGTTTGTTTTGGATACTGTGCATGCAGAGTTTTTATTAAGCTCTTCTAGTGAATTGTGAAATTTTTACAACCATGTTTCAATATATTATGTTTCTGTTTCATCCTTTAACTATGTAACCACTGGGGCATTTACCCCAGTAGGCCCTTTGCTTGCCCCAGTAGTGAAGAAATATTAGTTCAGATGAGCTGGGCCCTTTTGATCATAAGTAAAAATGCATCCTTGTCGAAAAGCTGTATCTGCCTGCTTTCTGATATCCTCTCACATTCTCGACATTCCATCTAATAAAAGTGTGCACAGCATCTGTGTGAGGAAAAGGTCCTCATTGAGACTTATAGCCCAGTAGTTGTAATTTCTTAAAAAATGCTCTGAAACCCTAACTGCGAAATGAGTCGACCCGCGTCAATCAGCGTGGGAAATGACGTCTGATCATGAGTTCGCAGACTAAGTCCAAACGCAGGTTCAACCTGCATGAATCAATAACTATTTCATTACATTAACAGTCAGTGATACAATATAGCGTGATTTTTATGGCTAAATCAATTGAAAGGCTTCTTATATAATATTATACGTATTTATAACAAATCGATACGGCACAACCACAGGGCCATATCACGTCATTTGCGGTTACAACTGTCAAACAATAGGCGTGTTCAAATTAAACAGTTGTGACAAACATTTTCAATTCAATAGAGAGTCATGAGTCCAGTATACTGTGATTTTTTATGGCAACTAAATAGACCGAAACAATGATACAATATTGACGGCATCTTCATGCAGCTAAAATTAATCCACATATTTGGGCTTCGGGTTTGGATTTATCCGCCAAAGACAGTATAATCTTATTATATAGGTACATGCAGTATTTACCGTTGAAACCCGCGCAAAATATGTTTGCCTCTATCACATATTTGTGCAAATGCATTTAAGGCAGCTAACTTGATCGACAACCTCAACAACAGTAAATACGTCGAACGATACTCAAAGGTCAAGAGCTCAGCACTTAATCAAATGAATTGGCAGTTTGTACTGAAACGGGTATAACGAATTCATTATGACGAAATGCATGTAAAGAGTAAATTTGAATCGTTAATTTCAGAAACTCCAAAGCCGGATGTATTCAGTTCTGTGTTCTGAATACTTTACAGCAAAAATAAATAGGAAGATTGGAAGAATTAAAATGTGCAATATGTTAAAATATCAATTGAACTGCTGAGGGAATATATTTTTCTGAGTTTATTAATCAACCGTGCAAAAATGATAATTAACACTTGAATACTTTGATATGCATATGAATTATAATTCTCCCATGCAATCTACTGGCGGTACACCATACGAAAAATGTTCTAAAGGACAGTTTGTAGTTATATGCAAATCACGAATGGATAGTGAAGATTAAAGGTAGAGTCGAACTAACACAAAATGCACATTTTAAAAATTCCAACTTCAGTTGACATATGTATATGATATTGGCAACTGCAATTTTATTTTTATCAGACGCAATATACATTCATTTTTATTTTGCGCAGTCGACACTTGTAATTAAACGTGGGAATTTTAAAACATATTCATTTTCCGCGCAACAAGCCAATTGTGTTCACCATAAATAATTTATTGTCGGATTAAGTGAATATAGGCTTGAAAAATTAAAACACTAAAGTATCTAAACACTTCAATGCAAAACATTCTATTGTTAACAAAGGAGTTAAGATATGGAATTCACTCGATAATGAAATTAGCAGTATTATATTTTATTGTATACTTTTAAGAAAAAGTCAAAATTATTTTTCTTGTAAAATATACTTTAATTGTTATTATCTGTAAACTTTGTTCAATTAGCTCTTTATATTACTTTTACTTTAAAATTTTCCTTACTTTATACTTGTATTTGTAAATATTCCTATATTCTTTCGACATTATATGATTAACTTACCATATCAGGGCCGTAGCAACCGGGGGGGCTGGGGGGGGGGCTGCAGCCCCCCCCCAATAATTTGCTAATAATCATTCTTTTTTCAAAATCATGCAAACTTTATCATTTAATCTATGACAAACTGCAAAGAATGAAGATATTACTCATACTCCAGATCGTTCCTCGCGTAGAAATTTTAGCTGAATTTCTGTCGCGCATTTTCAAGAAAATCCCACAAAATCTGCACATTTTTGATGAATTGATGATTAATTTTGTCTTTTGCGTGTTGGGTCTTGCGAAAAAAAACTCTGAAAATGCCATTTCAGACCATCTAGAGACTCCAGATCAGTGGCGTAACTACTATGGGCTCAGACCGTGAGAACCCGGGGGCCCCAACCTAAATGGGGGCCCCCAGGCTTAGGCAATAGAGCAAAAACATTGGTCAGGGCCTCTGATATGTTACAATGTAGTTTTATGACCATCAAAATTCTGTAAAATCTCTCCCCAAAGTCCAGGAAATGGCATTTCAGAGAGTCTAAATTCAAAAATTTTCCGGATGAGCATGCCCTGGACCCCCTAGAAAATTCGTGCATATACGGCGCTCGACTCGTGCCTTTGGCACTTCTACTAGGGGGGCCTTCGAAAATTTTGAACCGGGGGCCCCCTGATATAACGTTACGCCACTGCTCCAGATTTTTGAAATTTTCTCAAATGTTCTGCCTTCATTTTCGCGCAACTGCCATTTACGACGAAAATTCCCGCCGCGCATTTATAATACTACAGTCTGGCCCATACTTTCCTGTAAATTTCGACATACTAAAACGCTGTTTTCTGATTATCAGAATTCTGTTAAATCTTCCCCCAAAGTCCAGGAAATGGCATTTTAGAGACTCTAAATTTAAAAATTTCCTCGGGCCTTCGGCCCTCGCTTTCAGCCCCCCCAATCGAAAAGAGCTTCCTACGGCCCTGCATATAAAACAATTGTAAAAATATTATAGAACTAGGGACCTTTGAACAAAAAGCCTGAAAGGGTTTCATGAAGGCTCCTAGCCGGTCATATTTTACTGTATACTTTAGATTGTAAATATTAACTTTTTCATATGGGCAAATAAAATTCAATTCAATTCAAAAAATTCAAATTCATTGTCCATATGTCATGTATATTAAGACTTAAGTCGTGTGGCCTATACTGTATAGACCTATATAATATGTTATTTTTAAAAAAAAGTGATAGAAGCATCTGACAGTATTTGCATGCCGCTGTATCACTGCATTATATGGGATTGTTCAGTTGCTTCACAAACGTTTTCACTCGTTTCCATCATCAAACTGACGTTTCGTCATTTGATCAATTTCTAAAGTTGATTGTTTTTGGATTTTTTAAAATTAATTTGGTTAGGGTTAGAGTTAGGGTTAGAGTTAGGGTTGGGATTAGGGTTAGGGGTTAGAGTAGGGGTAGGGTTTGGGTTAGTTACATAGCCATTAATACCTCTTCCATCTGCCGACAATGACATCAATGTCAGTTTGGTGGTTGGAAATAAGTTATGAATGCTGACCACTCAAAAACCGCAAAGTGGCGCATGCTGATTTCAGACGTACGTTGATCAGTGATATTTGTCACGCGACAAACTGTCTCCAACGGACTATTTTCGTCACAAAAACGCAGCAACACCTGAAATCAGTGGAACAAACGTAGTTTGGAGCCTTCTCGTTGAATACTCCACCTCAAATTCTTACGTATATGGAGCCTTCTCGTTGAATACTCCACCTCAAATTTTTTCGTTATGACTGATTTCACGTAATATTTCGCAACTGATTTGCAATGTTATGTGTGGATTTGGGTATTATTTTACATCATGAAAATGCACATATTTTGTACGTCTGCGATTATGCACATATTGCATACCACCTCAAATTCTTTCGTTATGAAATTTTCATATATATTTCACAACTGATTCTCAATGTGTGAAATCGGGAATTATTTTACATCATGAAAATGCACATATTTTGTGTGGAACTTTATGGAATTTTAGGTCATTTGGTATTCATATTAGAATGTTAGGGTTTGTAATCCAAGTGATCATATACATTTTAAGACCTGACCAGGAACGACTGCGAAAAAATGCAGCACAAGGTCCTCTGGTAGGAATTGAACCTACGGCCCTGCGACATTGTAGGCCTACGGCCCTGTAGGAATTGAACCTACGGCCCTAACATTCTAATATTAATATTAATTCCACCAAGTGAAGTGCAAAGAAACCACATCATTTGGTATTCAGTCATTGATATTCTGGTAACACCTCCCCCCTGATTTAGCAAATCCTACGTCCAGTTCATATATATAGTCCAGTTTCTGTTTTGAAGCTGAATACTTCATTTAATACACACTCTAAGAGATCCTTTGTCAGCCATTTTGTCATTTTGTATTTGAACATATTTAAACTTTATTATTTCGTGTTTAGATGTCAACTGAATATGAATGTCAGCCAAATTGGACAAAAGAAGGTAGGAATACGATATATATTAATGCGAAATGTCAAAATTTAGTGGTTATACTTAATATAAGTAGTGCTAAAAAATATCACACACTTTGCCAATGCCAAATAATGGGCCATTCCATTTAATATCTACACCCCCCTGTCGACGACGTCTTCCAATTTCACACCCCTAAGAAGCATGTTTTTATAAGCCCCCCTCGGAAATTCATCACAATTTTGAAAGCCCTTCAGAAATTTGATGTTTTCTTCTATATTCTTAAGGAAACTAAGTGACCCCTCTGAAATACCCCTGTCGACGACGTCACCAATTTTTCCACCCTTCGGAAATTTTCGGCCATGATTTTGTGACCCTTCGGAAAATGTCGTCGACAGCCCTAATTTTCGTGACCATTCGGAAAATGTCGTCGACAGCCCGTCCAGCTTTTCGCCTATTTGCTGAAGGGGCTCGGAAATTTCGCTGATTAGCGAAAACCCTTAAGAAAATGCGATTTTTTTGTTCCCTTCGGAAATTACCATTTTTAGAACCCCTAAGAAATACAAATTTTCAGGACCCCTCCGAAGACGTCGTCGACAGGGGGGGTGTAGATATTAAATGGAATGGCCCAATTTTTGTGAAGAATGAAAGTCTGTTGCCCTGTTTATGTTTTCCAGACAGGCAAAAGCTTTTAAAAGCATCCAAGAAAGCGCAGTTACTGCATTAGATAACATGGAATGGCAATGGGCAATGTTAGCCCCCTACGGCCCTACCAGGCCCCCCCTATTCGGATGTCCTAAACTAAGGCCACTACAACTTAATCTTTAGTTTCTGGTCCGGCCTTACTTCCGTTTACGACGCGGGCGGGCGGGTGGTAAGGACTATAGGACATAATTACAATTGTGGTTTGCCCACATTTTTGTGGTCCTTTTTGTCCCTTTTCATGCTAATTGTATCAAAATATTATAAAATGTTACGTAAATTGCATTATTTTACATTATTTAAAAATAGACATGCACGACAGATTACAAAGGATTTTACATATCAAAATGATTATTTATAGGTTTTTTTACCTCGTACGGCTCGTAATCTTGTGCATGATGGCCAAATGAGAACGCAGACTTATAAGGCATCAGTTTTTACCCTTCAGTACTTCATTTTGCTAGGTCTTTTTAGTGTAAGTTGAATATTTATCGTTCTATAAGTTAAATCCTTCGCGAAAATTTTCAAAAACTTGAAATTAATTGTAAACAACAAAATAGTCCTGAAATAATACTCTACGGAGAAATGATGCGGGCGGCGGACCAGAAACTAAAGATTAACTTGTAGTGGCCTAATTTTTCTCCCCTCTCACTGCGGATGGCAGAAATTTCTTCCGTGGGGGGAGTGTGGATCTTTCCTGGAACGAACCAATGGTGGTGTTTTCCAGTATAGCAAAATTGATAATTTGTCAATGTCGATTTGTCATGTACGATTCGTATTTTGGCGTATGAAAATTACTGCTGACGCCACGTTTCCTCTTTATTTAGTTATGGTTACTGTACATACACAGGAATATGAATCGTACATGACAAATCACAGCGTGTAAACGTGCCTTAAAATATATATACTATATATGATTTAATGCAAAATGCTGTGAATATTTATCCCAATGTGGATCCCAATGTCACAGAATAGAGACCTTACAGAGAACCAGTTTAGCCAAAAAAGTATTGTTTCCATACCATGATTCACAGTCATGGTTTGTCATCAAAATGCTGTTGCCATGTCTCTAGCCAGTTTGTTTACGAGAGGCAATTCACGCCCTGAACGCCCACCATTTTGAATATGTTCAGGGGGGTGAGTGAAGTCGACCTTCTGTAAGGTTTTTATTCTGTGCCAATGTGGTATGGCTATTAATCAGACACAGCACTTTGTTATTTTACTCTGTCTAACGCCAGATGATTTTACTCGTCAGGGGGAGAGTTCTGTCACTCAATGGGTTAAACAAATGGCAGCACTCTCCACTTGACAAGTAAAATTGTCTGGCGTTAGACAGAGTAAAATACTAAAGTAGGGTGCATCAGGGTGTATTGGCACAGGATTAAGAGGATGCACAGACGGTTTTTTGGTTAACCCGTTTAGTGGCAGCACTCTCCACTTAATTGACCAGTAAAATCATCTGGCATTAGACAGAGTAAAATCATCTTGGCAAGTAAAATACTAAAGTAGGGTGCATTGGCACACCTAAAGGGTTTAGAAAATTTGTTATGTTTATATGTGATTATTAAGTGTGTGATTACAAAATGGACAGGTGTTCTGTATTAAATTCCACCTCACAATTTATCTTGTAGAAGAAACAGGCTTTACGCAGGTTATCGCAGGGTTCGGCAGGTCAAGGCATGCGTAAAGATGACATAAGGCGGAAGTTGGAAGCTAGAAGACGTCTTGCTGCTTCAGGTTCAGACGGCAGTGAAAGAAAATTCCCCAGGGGAAATGTAAGACAAGGTAGGTTGCAGTATTTCTGAAATTTCTCTATGCGACGCAAACTCGCAATAACCATGAGCTCATGAAGTCTGCAGCACACCTTAAGGTCGAATTATTAGGTAGAATTTTTTTTAATTGCATAAAATATGTTTTATTTAATTTAAGAAAATGTACACTGGCGATTTTTTAAAAAGTTCGCTAAATAATTATTTTCACTAGTCGAAAACTTTTAACAAAATAAAAAATGGGGTCACTGTTGTTTTTTTCAAAATTGCATATTCAGGCTGTCCAAAATTGCTTGCGACAGAAACCAAATTGGGTTACCGCGTTTTGTGATGTCCCCGCCAAAGGCAATCCTCAACTCTTCACTTTTAAGGATAAATTCCTAACGCTTTAAGATCTTGTGTTGTATATTCCTTTACGCGTCGTTGCTGTTCCGCAACGTATTTGGGCCAAACGGTCCATCACTTGCACACACGAATATCTGAACACTTGGGTGTTTCTCCTCTAACAGACAGTAAAAGCAGCAATCCGACCATGTCTAGTATCCTTTTCCATCTTGAGAATACTGGCCACACCGCCTCTCTTAATGATTTTAAGATTATTTCTTGTTGCTCCTCTCCAGACGAACTCCTCATTCGAGAAAGTCTTCTCATTAACAAACTCAAACCCTCTCTCAACTTACAAGGCAGTTCGGTCCCTCTACTTCTACTCTGATCCTCTTTCTACTTTTGTAATATAATATCTTGTAAATAGTTGTAATTTATTCATATTTCTATGTTTTCCGCTTTGTATGTCATTGCTCTGAATTAGACGTCTTAAGTTAAAGACGAAACGTTAGCTTTCGAATAAATATTTTAAACTATATTCTTGTTATGGCTCTTTTACGTATTTTCTGCTGGGCATTAATATTTATCCTAATATTACGATTTCCGCCTGGTTCATCTATCGCAAGTATGTTGTATATATTGATATACTGTAGTTCTTCAAATCAGCTTTGCTGTAACCTGGGTTTACCAAAACAAAAACATATCAGAAGAACTTAGAATTTATTCTTTTTTATACATGTCCAAATGAATCGTAAAGTACTGTAACATGCAGTAGCCCAATTAGACAACAGAACGCGTAATGTACGTACGTATAGCTGCAAGGCAGACACTCACTCACTCACTCACTCACTCACTCACTCACTCACTCACTCACTCACTCACTCACTCACTCACTCACTCACTCACTCACTCACTCACTCACTCACTTACTCTTCAGAAATTGGAGGCAATAAAGATTTACTCACTGCCCTGTGTTAATAAAATCTTGGAACGTATAGTATTATCACGATTACAAAAGCAACAAAATTGTCTCCATCATCCGCTCCAGGGTGGATATCAAAAACAACAAGATGCTCTCACGACATGTTTTGCAATTGAAGAGGTGCTAAATCAC